GCTGCAAAACAATGGGATCGAAACGTCCGCGCGCAGCGGGCAAAATGTGGACATCGCGCTTTCGCGCAAGGCATTCAATACCACTGCAACCTAATGGCGACGCCTCGCAGAACGCGCCCCCAAGGCGAGCGAGAAATCCATGTCTAAGCATTTCTTCCCGAACTGAATAGGACAGACGGAAAACGACAAATTGGAAACGAAATTCCTCACTATTCGCATGGAAGCATTTGAGCACGCATCATATCAACGGCAACTTCCATCAGTCACATGCAGCGCTGCGCGCGCGTCGAGCCGACGTGGGCCAGAAGGTTCACTAAAATTCTGGACCGCTTGGATCGCGACTGGGCGGCGGCCCCATCCGCTCGGCGGCGGCCTCGTCCGCGCTCGAACCGCCTTGAGACTGTACGACTCCTAATCTAGAATTATAAAGAATGAGTGTCCGATGGGTCTCAACATCTGCACGATATTGTATAAATACACGCGCCAGACGCGTCCGATGGATGGCAGTCTCAAAGCGGCCTCAAACAGTCTCATGTAAAATGCCCGAAGCCCTCGGCGCCGAGCACGTCCGCGAGTCTCACATTGTCTCAATGTGCTACGAAACCCTCGGCGCCGAACGCAGTGGCGCGTCTCGAAAGGTTCCAAGTCGCCCCGGAACCCTCGGCGCCGAGTACATCCGCGAGCCTCACAGGGACTCACAGTGCCACAGAACTCTCAGCGCCGAACGCAACCGTTCGCCTTCAAAGCTTTCAAATCGTTCCGATACCCTCGGCGCCGAGCCCTTCCGCAAGTCTCACATGGTCTCGCAGTGCCGCGAAACCCTTGGCGCCGAACGAATTCGCGCGTTTCAAGGGGTCTCACGATAGTCCGAAACTCCTGGCGCCGAGCACGCCCGCGCGACTCGCGCGCCCTTGCGGAACCGCGAAACGCTTAGCGCCGAGCGCATTCGCGCAATTCACAGGGTCTCACAATGCCCAGAAACCCTCGGCGCCGAGCCCATCCGCAAGTCTCACATGGTCTCGCAGCGCCACGAATACCTCGGCGCCGAACGCACTCGCGCGTTTCAAAGGGCCTTACAATGCCAGGACACTCTCGGCGCCGGACGCATCAGCGGCCACCGCGCATCACGTCGCGACGGCGCTCTTTGTCGGGCGGGGCCGAATGCTGCAAAACAATGGGGCCGAAACGTCCGCGCGCATTGGACAAAATGTGGACGTCGCGCTTTCGCGCAAGGCATCCAGTACCACTGCAACCTCAATGGCGACGCCTCGATGAACGTGGCCCCCAGGCGGGCGCGAAATCCATGTCCAAGCATTTCTTCTCGAACTGAATAGGACAAACGGAAAACAACAAATTGGAAACGAAATTCCTCACTATTCGCATGGAAGCATTTGAGCACGCATCGTATCAACGGCAACTTCCATGAGTCACATGCAGCGCTGCGCGCACGTCGAGCCGACGTGGGCCAGAAGGTTCACTAAAATTCTGCACCGCTTGGATCGCGACTGGGCGGCGGCCCCATCCGCTCGGCGGCGGCCTCGTCCGCGCTCGAACCGCCTTGAGACTGTCCAACTCCTAATTTAGAATTATACATGATAAAGAAGGAGTATCCGATGAGTCTCAACATCTGCACGACATTGTATACATTCACACACCAGACGCGTCCGATGGCGGTCTCAAAGTGGTCTCAAACAGTCTCAAAGGGTCTCAAAATGTCCGAAGCCCCCGGCGCCGAGCACATCCGTGAGTCCCACATTGTCTCAAAGTGCTACGAAACCGTCGGCGCCGAGCGCAGTGGCGCGTCTCGAAGGGTCTCAAATCGCCCCGAAACCCTCGGCGCCGAGTACACCCACGAGCCTCACAGGGTCTCACAGTGGCACAAAACCCTCAGCGCCGAACGCAACCGTTCGTCTTCAAGGCTTTCAAATCGTTCCAAAACCCTCGACGCCGAGCCCTTCCGCAACTCTCGCATGGTCTCGCAGTGCCACAAAAAAACCCTTGGCGCCGAACGCATTCGCGCGTTTCAAGGGGTCTCACGATAGCCCGAAACTCCTGGCGCCGAGGACGTCCGCGCGACTCACGCGCCCTTGCAGAACCGCGAAAACCTCAGCGCCGAATGTATTCGCGCAATTCACAGGGTCTCACAATGACCAGAAACCCTCGGCGCCGAGCCCATCCGCAAGTCTCACATGGTCTCACAGTGCCACGAATACCTCGGCGCCGAACGCACTCGCGCGTTTCGAAGGGCCTTACAATGCCAAGACACTCCCGGCGACGGACGCATCCGCGGCTACCGCGCATAACGTCACGACGGCGCTCTTTTCTCGGGCGAGGCAGAATGCTGCAAAGCAATGGAACCGAAACGCCCGCAAGAATTTGACTAAATGTGGACATCGCGCTCTCGCGCAAGGCATCCAGTACCACAACAACCTCAATGGCGACGCCTCGAAGAACGTGGCCCCCAGGCGAGCGCGAAATCCATTTCCAAACATTTCTTCTCGAACTGTAATAAGAATGATGATAAGAATGATAGTAATAACAAATATTGTAAATATGATAATAACAATACTATCAATAATAACAGCAATAATAGCACAAACGTTGTGCGCGATTTTCAGGTTCTCGCCTTGTTCGTCTTCACAACGTCCGCGACGACCCAAGAGTTCCCTCAGTTCCAAGACGGCACAGGAGGCCCCCCGCGATGCCCCCGAGAGGCCCCACAGAAGCTCCCGAAAAAACCCATGAGACCCCCAAGAATCTCCCAAGATGTCCACAAGAAGCTCCACGAGGCCTCCCACGCAACCTCAGGAAGCCCCAAGAGATCCCAAAGAGGCACCACAAGGCCCCGCGACGCCCCCGAGAACCCCCAAGAAGCCCCCGAGAGCCTCCCGAAGGCCGCGAAGACCGAAGAGGCCCTCGAGATGCCCCGCGAGGGCATCGGCACACGCAGCAAGCAACGTCGACGAAGGCTGCGCTTCATGTTCATGCTCATGTCCGTTCCCTGCCCACCATCACCGACACATGCTGCTTTTCATTTCAACGCCCCTTTCCTTGTACACCTTCAACGGTGCGCTCTGAAGCGGCCGCAATCTGTGTGATACAACATGTGCGGTGCACCGTGGGTGATTCAATCAGGGTGGTGCAGTCGGTGCGTCGCGCAATTCAGTGCATGCATTGCCGCACTGCAGCCTCGCGGGGCCGCTCTCGCAAGCGCGGTGGCAGGTGTGCGCGGCAGCGCAACTGAACAGCAAATCTGTGGTTCTCGTTTCGGTTGCTGGCTACGGCCCGGCGGCCTCGACGACGACGACGACGAACCGGGAATATCTTTTGAATCGTCCACTTCCCAGCGGAGCGCTGCGACACCCCCGTACATTTCTCAATCGCTTGGTCGCATTATTGCAGCATCGTTGATACATTTTGGGCTTACTCTGGTTCCCCCCTAGCTCCCTCGCTCCTCGGATGCCCACGGAGCAGCTCAGAACCGCGCCCCGACACCCCAATTGGACCCCCCCAGGAACTCGCATCCGCTTCTCCTGCCTCCCCCCTCCTCCCCTCCCTCCTTCCCCCCATTCCCTCCTTCTCTCCCTCTCCCTCCTCCTTCCCCCGTCTCCCCCCTTCACAATTACTCAATATGAATACTACTCTCCCTCTTCCCCTGACGACGGTTTGAAAATATTCCCCGCGCAGTGTTTTTTACACACAAGATTCCCTGGAGTTGGGCTTTCGCCTGCATGTGTTTCCAAAATGCTGCTCTCGCTGAGGCGCCGGCCTCATTTTCGGGCCCCGCTCGTTCCGAATCGTGCTCCTGCTGCAGCGCTGACCTCATTTCCGTGCTTCCACTCGTTCCGAATCGTGCTCCCGCTGCAGCGCTGGCCTCATTTCCGCGCTTCCGCTCGTTCCGACTCGTGCTCCCGCTGCAGCGCTGGCCTCATTTCCTGTGCCATGCCACGGCATGCAATGCAATGCTAGGTTGATGCTACGCTTTGCGGGGGTGCTCTTCTACGCCATGCCATGCCGTGCTCTACAATGCATCGCGTACCCTTTCGGGATCATTGCCCTGCTCGACATCCGACTGTGCGAGTAGAGAGGGGATCTACGCCATGGTAAGGGATGGGAGGGAGGGGTAGGATGTCAGATATGACGCGAGCGCACCTAGCTTGCCCCCCCCCTCCCCCCTCCCTCCTCTCTCCCCCTCCCTCCTCCTTCCCCCCCCCCTTCTCCGAATCCTCCTTCCCCCCCCCCTCCCTCTCCCCCCTCCCTCCCCCGCCTCCCTCCTTCTCTCCCCTTCCATCCTCCTTCACCAAATACTCAATATGAATAATACTCTCCCTCTTCCCCTGATGACGGTTCGAAAGTATTAGCCCCCCCCCCCGCGTACTGTTGTTTTACACACAAGATTCCCCGGAGTTGGGCTTTCGCCTGCATTTGTTTCCAAAATGCTGCTCTCGCTGAGGCGCCGGCCTCACTTTCGGGCCCCGCTCGTTCCGAATCGTGCTCCCGCTGCAGCGCTGACCTCATTTCCGTGCTTCCGCTCGTTCCGAATCGTGCTCCCGCTGCAGCGCTGGCCTCATTTCCGCGCTTCCGCTCGTTCCGACTCGTGCTCCCGCTGCAGCGCTGGCGTCATTTCCCGTGCCATGCCACGGCATGCAATGCAATGCTAGGTTGATGCTACGCTTTGCGGTGCTCTTCTACGCCATGCCATGCCGTGCTCTACAATGCATCGCGTACCCTTTCGGGATCATTGCCCTGCTCGACATCCGACTGTGCGAGTAGAGAGGGGATCTACGCCATGGTAAGGGATGGGAGGGAGGGGTAGGATGTCAGATATGACGCGAGCGCACCTAGCTTGCCCATCCCCCTCTCCCCCTCCTCCCCTCTCTCCCTCTCCCTCCCTTTCCCCTCCCTCCCTTCTTCTTTCCCTCTCCCTCCTCTCTTTCCGTCCCTCCCTCTCCCTCCCTCCCTCTCCGTCCGCCCCCTGGAGGCGGGCGACGTCCAGCGGCCTCGCCGCGGACCTCGTCTGGGCGGGGCGTCCTCGCGATGGCGTGGGGGGGGAGGCCAGGAGCCACGGCGCCGGCTCGCCGGCGAGGGCCCAGGGCCCCCGCAGCCTTCAGAGGGAGGAGGGGGAGGGGGAGGAGGGGGAGGAGGAGGAGGAGGAAGAGGAGGAGGAGGAGGAGGAGGAGTAGAGGAGAGGAGGGAGGAGTAGAGGAGGAGTAGAGGAGGGAGGAGGAGGAGTAGAGGAGGGGGGAGTAGAGGAGGAGGAGGAGGAGGAGGAGGAGGAGGAGGAGGAGGAGGAGGAGGAGGAGGAGGAGGAGGAGGAGGAGGGAGGAGTAGAGGGGGAAGGAGTTAGAGAAGTATAGACGAATACAATCATCCCGCATGACAGGGACGCACGATCAGGATGCAGGGGCCTTGGAAGGCCGTGTCGACACTTTGCGAGAGTGGCGCGGCCAGCTAAAGCAGCCAAGGATGGGCCGAAGGAGAAGGATGCAAAGGTAACCTTGGAAAGCTGCTCATCCTTACTATGCGGGTCGAGTGTAGAGGAGTAGAGGGAGGAGACGGGGAAGAAAAACATCGTTCCAGGTAGAACATCTGAGAACATCTCAGACAGCTCTGAGGGGGCTCCAGGAGAGGTGGACCGCCCCAGTCAAACCTCGAAGACGGATCCTTCGATCTCCGCGCTGACATTATTGTCCTCCATGCTGGCCGTTCGCTCGTCTCCTCCATTCTGAAACTTTGGGTGCCTCTGGGGAGCCCCCCTCCGAGGGAGGAGCGATGGAGGAGGGTGGAGCAAGGGAGGATGGTGGGAGGATGGATGACGGATGGGGGCATGGAGGAGGGAGGGTAATCGGACTGGCGTTCGACACAAGACTCTGATTCCTAAAGCCGAGCAATCGGATTGGCTCACTCTGGAGCCCTGGTCAAGCAAACGACGTGACATTACATCTATCTGAACCATCGAAGGCGGGGTCTGCGCACAGACTGCCATGCAAGGTGTCCCGGAAAATGCGACGCTCTGTTTTTTTGGTTTTGTTTCACAGCGTGGGGCCCAGGGCTCTCGACCTCACTCCTACGACTTGTGCTTTGCCGCGGCTGTTTGCATCCACGGACGCTGGGATTGCAGGACAACGCTGCTGCTGACGTAGAGCCCCGTGGATGCCCATCCAGGACGCTGTGTCCTGGACAGTCCGCCCGCAAAAGATAGGCCGACCATGCCATAGGTCGCTCTGACGAGGCCACGCGGAGGAGGAAGAGGGTGTAGATCGACCCCTAGAACGTCCCAGAACCCCCTGGCCCCCTCCTTACATTAAATTCAGAACTCCGCTTCAAGCATATACGCCTGAAACACACACTCCTCCTCCTCCTGCTCCTCCCTTTCGTCCCTCCCTCCTGGACAGTGCGGCGAGCGGCATCTTTGGCTGTGCGCTGCCTTGCTCGTGACGCCCTCCCCCGGGCGCCCCGCCCAGGCCAGGCCGTTGAGGCTCTGACCGAGGCTGGGTCGTCTTCAGCGCTACGGATGGCCGCCGATGCGCTTCCGTGTTTCCCATTGATCCCACCGGCCCTCTGGGCGTAGGCGGTCCAGGGAGTTTCATCTCCCAACCCCCTTCTTCCTCTTCCGGGAGGGGTTTACCCCTTCCCTCAACCCCCTCCCCTGGACCTGGGCGGGGGTTTTCGCGAGTGGTCAGAGCTTCCAAGATGGCCCCAGATGGCTCCAAGAGAGGCTCAGAGAACCCAAGATGAACTCCAAGATGATTCAAGATAGCGCAAGATGCCTCAAGATGGCTTCCAAGATGCTCCAAGAGGCTCCAAGACCGCCCCAAGACGGCTCCAAGAGACCTCCGAGACCTCCAAGGAGGCCTCCAAGAAGCCCTAATCCTTCAAAAGCCTGAGGACAACCAATGAGTGTTGCCTTCTCGCCTTTTCGCTTCCGATGGCCATCCGACGCCTCAAGATGGCTCCAAGATGGCCTTAAGAGGGGCCCAAGAGCGCCCCAAGACGGCCCCACGAGCGCCCAAGAGCGCTCCAAGAGCGCCCCAAGAGTGCTCCAGGAGGCCATTTGGGGGGATTCCGAGGGGGGGCGTAATTAGGGCCCCCCCTCTTTGATCGATCTCCTCCAAGATGGTCCCGAGAGCGCCCCCCAAACCCCCAAGAGCGCCCCAAGAGGGCCCCAAGAGGCGCCCAGACGGCCCCAAGAGGCGCCCAAGAGGCCTCCAAGAGGCCCCCAAGAGACCCCCTAAGAAGCCTCAAGAGGATCTCCGACAGGCATTAAAGAAGCTTATGGCTCTTCGGTTCGCCGTCCTCCTTTTCCTCATCCACCTCTTCTTCCTCCTCCCTCCTCCCCCTCCCCCTCCTCCTCCCCTCCCCTTCATTTTGCTCCTTCCCCTCCTTCTCCTCCTTCTCCTCCCTCTCATCCTTCTCGTCCGCCTCGTCCTCGCCCTACTCAATATTATCCTCCTCATTCTCCTCATCCTCCTCCCCCTCATCCTACTCCTCTTCCTCCTCTTCCTCCTCCTCGTCCTCCTCCGACGACGACGATTCCTCTTCCATCCTCCCCCTTTTGGGGTATATGGCAGTTTCCCCCGCCCTGTTCTTCTGCATGCTCCCCCGCTTCCCTGATCATCTCAACTCCCCTGGGCATCGTTTCTGGATGGGCTGGTGGGGATACTTTTTTGTTCGCGAACGACACGGAACAACCGCGCGCCGTCAAGAGGTGGTGGGGCTATTTGTGTTGGTCAACGGCCTCATGAGGCGGGTCAAAAAGGCGTCCAAACTCTAGCCACATGGTGGTGGGGATACGCGAAGCGTCAAGATTTGTTGCCCTCTGCCATCATCTGCTGGTTGGCGAGCCGAGGTTTCATGAAGAATTTCGGCAAAGACCCCCCCCGCGCAGAAGACCTAGCTTCCTCGATTTGGCGAAGCAGCTGGGCACGCCGCGCGCAGGCTGCAGGGGAACATTCCCCCTGTCGTCTGCACCTCCTTTCTCCGCCCTTGTCCTTTGTCTCCTCCGCCGCGTGCGGTCCTCCCTCTCCCCCCCGCCCCCTGCCCCGCCCCCTCCCCCCCGTCCTCCCCCCCCCCATCCCACTCCCTTCCCCCTCCCCCTCCCCCTCCCCCTCTCTCTCTCCCCCATCCCCCTCTCTCGCGTCTCCTTCTCTCGCCCCTCTCCCCCCCCGCGCATCTCCCCCCGCGCATCTCCCCCCCCCCTCTCCTGAGAAAGGGGGCGAAGGGCGGAGGGGGCACGGGAGGAAGGAGGGAGAGGAGATGAGAGGATAGCACGAAGCGGGGCGTGGATGGGGGGGCGGAGAAGGGTGAATACGCCTTCCTGCGCCCCCCCTCCCCTTCCCCCCCGTCCTGCCCTTCCCCCCCCCCGCCTCCGTCATCCGACCTCTGTCCTGCAGTCCCCCGCGCTGCCCTGCCCTTCCCGCCCCTCCTTCCCTGAGATCAAATTTCTTTACAACCCGAACGACATTTCATAACCGAGATAGGTCACTTTACAACCAGCAGGGGATCGAATGGCATGGTTTTCCTTTGGGGGCGACCACTTTGCAACCGAAACAGCCCACTTTACAACCAGCACGGCCCATTTTACAACCCGGAGGGGGCCCTTTGGAACCAGAACGGCCACTGCACAACCATGCCTCAGAGTCGCGTGAGCGTTCTGCAAGTGCTTCAGAAGCTTCAGAGCGCCTCACGAGCGCTCGGCAGAGGCTTCTGAGCGCCTGAGCGCTCTGCAAAAACCCATGAGGCTCCTGAGCGCTCAGCAGAAGCTTCTGAGCGCATGAGCGCCCTGCAGAAGCTCCTGAAGCTTCTGAACCCTGGGCGCTTTGCAGAGGCCCCTGAGCGCATGGGCGCGTTGCAAACTCTTCTGAGCGCCTGAGCGCTCTGAAATGGCTCATTGGCTCATGAGCGTCTGCGCGCTTTGCAGAGGCCTCTGAGCGCCTGAGCGTTCTGCAGAAACTTCTGAGCGCCTCGGCGCCCTGCAAACAACAAACAACTCCCGGGGGCCCTGAGCGCTCAGCAGAAGCCTCTGAAAGAAAGCCTGAGCGCCCTGCAGAAGCTTCTGAAGCTTCTGAACACTGGGCGCTTTGCAGAGGCCCCTGAGCGCATGGGCGCTTTGCAAACTCTTCTGAGCGCCTGAGCGCTCTGAAATGGCTCATGAGCGCCTGGGCGCTTTGCAGAAGCCTGTGGGCGCCTGAGCGTTCTGCAGAAGTTTCTGAGCGCCTTGGCGCTCTGCAGAGGCTTCTGGGCGCCTGAGCGCCCGGCAGAAGCTTCCGCGGCTTCTGGGCGCCTGGGCGTTTTTATGTTTTCAAAGGCTTCTCAGTGCCTGAGCGCTCCGCAGAGGATTCTCATGCTTTTGAAGCGTCTGAGCGCCCGAGCGCCCTGCAGAGGTTTCGTAGGCCCATGCGGCTCACGAGCGCTCTGCAGAGGCCTCTGAGCGCCCGGGCGTTCTGAACGCCCGAGCACTCCGCAGAGGCTTCTGAGCGCCCGAGCGCCCCGCAGAAGCTGCCGCGGCTTCTGGGCGCCCGGGCGCTTTGCGAAGGTCCCTGAGCGCCTGATCGCTCCGCAAAAAAAATCTGAAGCAGACTGGTGAGCGCCAGAGCGCTCTGCAGAGGCGTCCGAGGCTTCGGGCGCCTCAGCGCCATGCAGAGAGCGCTCTGCAGAGGCAATTCTGACGCTTCTGAAGTTTCTGAGCGCCCAGCAGAAGCTTCTGGGCGCGCGGGCGCTCTGCGGGAGCTCCCGAGGCTTCTGGGCGCTCTGCTGAGGCGTCGCAGCGCCTCTGATCGCTTCCCAGTGGCCCCTGGGCGCTCGTCGGTGGATCTGAATGCTTGCCAGTGGCCTTTGAGGGCTTACCAGTTGCCTCTGAATTTTTCCAATGGCTTATGAACGTTCCTCAGAAGCTTCCGAGCGCACGCCCGAGCTGCCCTTGTTGCCGGGCGATGAGGCGCGAGGACACGCGCGCGCACGCACTGTCTACGATACAGAAAAAAACCATTTGAAATCCACATGCATTGGATAGAGTCGCGCCAACGATTGCC